ACCTGAGCCGAAGGCAGACGCCTAACGACTAAGCCACCCAGGCACCCCTCTCTGTTTTATTTTTATTAAAAAAATTTTTGTTTAAGATTTTATTTATTCATCAGAGAGAGAAAGAGAGGGCACAAGCAGGGGGAGCGGCAGGCAGAGGGAGAAGCAGACTCCCTGCTGAGCAGGGACACCCCCCCCCGCCCACCGATGCAAGACTTGATCCCAGGACTCTGGGATCATGACCTGAGCCAAAGGCAGACGCTTAACTGACTGAGCCACCCAGGTGTCCCTGATTCTCTGTTTTAAATGGCTCCTCATCATTATGCCCACTGCCGTATTTTAAGCCCCCATTATTTGTCAGTTGATTACTACAACTGAACAACTGTCTCTTTCTGTACTTCTGGCTTTTTTTTTTTTTTTTTTTTTTACTTCTGGCTTTTCATCAAAGCCAGGAGCGTGGCCCTAGGTATAGGTGCTCTGAGGACAGTACTAAAGAACTGAATGGCATGGCTTTCATCCTTGAGCAAGTCTTATTGCAGAGATTAGAATATTCTCACAAAGTGTGAGATAATTACAGCGGGCAGAGCTGATTGCATGTCTTGTTAAATGTCTTTACTGTTGAGAGAAGAAACCAAAAGAGCAAAGAAGACTTCATGGGGGGAAGTGGAAGTTAAATTTGATCTTCTAGGGCAGAATTTGAATAGGCAGAAATGAGGTTAGGATTTCATTTCAGGAGAGGAAATGTCATGGCCAAAGAATTGGTGGTAGCAGGAATAATTGGAGTGTTTGGGAAGTATAGTATGTTATGCAGTGAGAAGGTGGAATAAATAGCGAAGAATAAATCCTTTCATTTTGAAAGAGTTGAAAGAACAGAGGTTAAATCTTGCTATGAGGGGGCCTCCAAGTTGTAGTGTTTTAGGTTATTCAGATGTATCACTTGAAATCAGATAATTTTCTACAGAGTTGTTATTTAGTTTTGCTTTACCCTTGTTTTGAAGAGCTCCATGTGTACATTTCAAGGAAGAGTCAATTGTCAACTCTTGCCGTAGATTGGCAAAGCTGTGTCTGTCCTCTCTTTATCCATTGTGGACAAGAGTACTCCCATACTGAGATGAGAAGCAGTGTGCTAGGCTCACCATCTTATTTCTGTTCTAGCCTTTCTAGGCCTGTAAGTTCCTTGATAGTAAATATGTGCAGCCTTCAGAATATGCAGACAGGGGTAACCCTGAACCATGTGGCTTTAATCATTCTTTTTTTTTTTTTAAGATTTTATTTATTATTTATTTGAGAGAGAGAGAATGAGAGA